CGAGTTGCAACCAGAGTCACGGAACGGATTAAGTTCGTAACTAGAGGTACCACTGTATCAGGTACCCATTCAGAGTATCAGTCAATGTAACTGGGCTCTTTTCAACACCAAACAAATTAAATATAACGTAACTAGAAAAATAACATTAGCACAGTGAATAGCTAACTTTGATGTTATCTTTCATACATTATTTCTCTGTATGAAAAAGTCACGAACTAACAATTCTTACGTTTTGTGGTTTTCTGGCCCCGTAGTCATGAAACACAAATACATTCCTGTACTCAATCCAATTTTAACTGATAATGCTTCATACATCTGAGAAAACATGATCTAATCCTCAGAAGCTCATACCCAGTAAAGTTGCCACCCTATGCATACATATTAGATAATAAGCCCTTCTAAAATCAGTAGGATATGTTCCAAAATAAACATGCATAAGATTATGCTATTTTAAACCCACCCCTGTAGACATACAGAGGGGAAAAAAACCTCTTCTAATAGTCCTATTCAGAAGTTCATGACATCTTTAAGACTGAGAAATGCACCTGTGCTTTTAAAGACTAAAAAGAGTTTAAGTTTTGTGTTACAGGAAATGAAACCAGCTATTAACGGTTACATTTTATGACTCAATGAAGCAACAAAATAAGGAACATTTTATCATTACAAGCTATATCTATGTTGCTTCATTGCCAGAATAAAATGTAATGAATTATCTGTTAAGGAAAATTTAGCATAAACACAGACTTTTGAAACAGCAATTCATAGAACATTACAAAAATTACACACACCCAGTAGTACCTGCTATGAAGTAGAAAGCCATGGAAATGCAGTATTTTGTTGCATTTAAGCACTATCTTTCACATTTTCATGGTGTGGGATTAAAGACTAACTAGGAGTGGATTTTTTGCAAAAACTCAGGAGAAAGCCCTTCCATACTCAAATTAACACCTTCTAGTGTTAGCTTTTGAGCATATTCTCCTATGAAAACATAACCATTTTAAAGGGGAACAAAAGGAAAGCTTATGGGTAACTTCCAGGAATTTTAGAATAAAATAGGAGGAAGATAAGTAGGCTAAAGAAGAGGATCTATAACTGGAAACCTGATATAGGCTTCACAGAAATTGAGGGAGTGAAGGAAAGTAGATAACAATGCAGTATATGCCGAACAGAGTGCAACTGAGCAAAACAAGAATCAAGTTGCATCCAAGCTCCATATGAGACTTACTAAGGCAGGGTTCCTCAACCTTAGCAGCTTTAAGATGGGTGGACTTCAACTCCCAGAATTCCCCAGCCA